ACTGATGCTGACCGCTGCTGTATCAGCTGGCAAAGGGACAATTGATGATGGATACGAGATTGCAGAGGTTGCCAAGTAAGTATGACGACAATGAATCATAACATTTACAAAATGGCAGAGCACTGAGGTGAAAATAAACCGCCAAGACCTCTCTTGATTTGTGTAATTATTTTTTTTCCAGATACCTGAACTTCATCAATGTGATGACTTATGACTTCCATGGAACTTGGGAAAGATTCACAGGACACAACAGCCCCCTGTACCAAGGCTCAAATGATGAGGGAGACCTGATCTACTTTAATACAGTGAGAATTGATATACTGTAGCATCATTTATCATGAGGTATTCAAACCTCCCAAAGGAATCATTTTTAAAATGACTACTCTCCTGCTCATTCAGGACTTCGCTATGCGCTATTGGAGGGACAACGGCACCCCTGTGGAGAAACTCAGAATGGGTTTCGCAACATACGGTCGCACTTTCCGTCTGACATCTGCAGATACTAGCGTTGGAGCCCCAGCTAGTGGACCTGCTTCAGCTGGAACCTACACTCGCGAGGCTGGATTCTGGTCTTACTATGAGGTGGGAGCTTTGGAGTCATTTTGTCCAAAATAATGGAATATATTCTTTAAAAGTATCTTTTGAATATTCCCAATATCTAATACAGTCAAACAATATATCAATATCTGTATAGATCTGTGGATTCCTAGAGGGAACAACACTCCAGTGGATTGAGGACCAGAAGGTGCCCTATGCCACAAAGAATGGCGAATGGGTTGGATTTGACACCAAGAAGAGCTTTGAAACTAAGGTACTTTTGAGACTTTACTGGAGTTGGGTTTCATTGTCAACATTTGTCAGAAACTGACTAGCAACTCTTCTTTCAATTTATAGGTCCGTTATCTGAAAGACAAGAACTTTGGTGGAGCCTTCGTCTGGGCGCTTGATCTGGATGACTTTGCTGGACAGTTCTGTAATCAGGGGAACCATCCTCTCATGGGCCATCTGCACAATCTTCTGGATATCGG